ATACATTTTAAAGATGGGAACACCAGCATTGAAGATGAGCCTCGGAGCGGTCGTCCTCGAACAGCCTCAACTGAACGCAACAAGAAAAGAGTGGATGAGATCATTGAAGATGACAGGCGTGTGACTATTACCACAATAGCCCGAAAACTTGGAACAGGGCACAGTGCAGTACAGGAGATGATTGAAAGCTTGGGCTATAGGAAAGTTTGTGCTCGTTGGGCCCCACGGTTATTGATCGAAGACCACAAAGGTCAGCGAAAAGCCATCACCTCAGATCTGCTGCAGAGATATCGACATGAAGGCGATGATTTCTTGCTCTGTATTGTGACAGGTGACGAAAGCTGGTTTCACCATTTCGAGCCTGAAACGAAACGGCAGAGTACGGAATGGCACCATTTGCATTCTTCATCAAAAGGAAGGCAAAGACAGTGCCATCAGCTGCAGAGGTGATGGGGACAGTCTTCTGGGATGCATAGGGGTTTATTCTCGCTGAATTCCTGGAACCTGGGCAAACCATCAATGCTGTTCGTTATGTCTCGTCGCTGCACAAGCTCCGTCATGCATTGAGCGATAAATGTCCGGGACGAAACATCATCATCTCATGACAACGCTCGCCCACACGCCGCTCGTCTCACATTGGAAGCAACTACAAAAATGGGGTGGGAAGTTCTTCTACACCCCTCCTATAGCCCTGATCCGGCACCCTCCAACTACTATCTTTTCGGATTTGTGAAGAATCAGCTGCATGGACAACGTTTTGAGACAAGGGAGGCAATTCAGAAAGCAGTGCGTTAGTGTCTTCGGAAGGTTGGAACAAAATTTTTGAGAAGGGTCATTTTCAAACTCCCAGAACGCTGGGAGAAATGTGTACAAAGAAGTGGCGATCATGTGGAGAAATAAAAAATGTCTGTAGATTGATGTGGTGTATTTGGTTTGTCAATAATAAAGGATGTTACTTTACAAAAAAATGTTGCTCATGACTTCAGTACGACCCTCATAATAAATTACTTGAAATTGAGAAAGGCCTGTGCAATTGATGGAATCCCAAATGAATGCCTCAGGCACCTTCCAAGGTGACCATTCGTTCACCTAACCCATTCTTCCAATCACTGTTTTCGGCACTCTCATTTTTCAAATCCTTGGAAGGAAGCACACGTAATAACTTTAAGTAAACATGATAAGGACCCGAAATTCCCTCAACATTTAAGCCCCATTAGCCTCCTGTCCACAGCAGGAAAACTATTCGACAAAATGATTTTGAAATTACTCCAAGAACATACTGAAGAAAGAGGCCTGCTCATCGCAAGCCAGTTGGGTTTCCGTGCAAGTCACAGAATGACACTTCAATGTATGAGACTGACGGACCATGTGGCTCTTAATTTCAACTTCGAAAAATTCTTTGATACCATATGGCACACAGGTTTTCTGTATAAGTTACCAAAATTGAAATTTTCGAACAGATTGACCAAGCTTATTGGGTCGTTTCCCTCAGCAACGCAAATTCAGAGTTTGAAGGCGAAATGTCAAAGCGAAGGGTAATGTAAGCAGGGGTGCCACAACGCTCGGTCCTGTCTCAGACTCGTTTGAATTAGTATATTAATGATGCCCCCAAACACATGGTGTTCACCTGGTCTTCTTTGCCGATGACACCTGTCTGTATGCGACAGATTGGAAGGAGGGTTTTATTATCAGGAAGGTGGTGTGAGAGCTGCAATATAAATATTAATGAGGCTAAGACTCAGGGGGTCTACTTCTCTAGTAGTCGTACGGAGCCCGAGTCTTCTCTTATGCTAAATGGACGAAATATTCCATTTGTATATAGTGCAAAATATCTAGGTGTAATATTCCATAAGACAGTTAAATGGAGCCTACACATAGGATGGATCGAAGCCAAGGCCTTCAGAACATTCGTTACAGTGAGCGATTGAGCGGTAACATTAAAATTACCCTAAACAAAGTTCTCACTAGATTCATACTGACTTATGTTAGTCTCGCCTGGTATTTGCAGCAGACATCCATCTAATGAAATTGCAGTGTATGCAAAATAAGGTTTTGCTGTACTGAGCTTGGACTGACAGAGGCCTTGTATATATTGCGCATCACAGTAGACATTAAGAGTCAATTTGTAAATAGGTGTTCATACTGATAATTTTCTTAATACTATAGACTATAACTGACAAATAACCGACCCGACCTCTCATCAGAGAGAGTGCACCGCAAGGACAGACAGTAACTTTCATAGAAGAAGAAACATCTGGTCATGAGCCCCGGCAGTCACAATGTGGCTTAAACATGAGGGTAGCACATGTCACATCAGTCACCGCTACAGTGTCATTAAGAGATCAACGCAGCTGCAACTCTCCAGTGCCATCACCGCACCTTAACTCCGCCAGTGCACACCAGCCAGGCAGACTCGCAACTATCCCGTCAGCTCGCAAACACCGAGCTGCAGCAAAGGAAGAACATCAATCCTCCAGTAGCACTCTCATCACTAGACCGGGCTAGCCGCTACAAAAGGGAGTATGCACTGGCATTATTCAGACACGCTCCCCTCTCTAAGAGCATTTATTGTTATATATCTACGTGGTTATCACAGCGAACATCGACATCCCACAAGTGATTTGAATGATATGTGTGTTGGACAGAGTGGTTTTACAGATTTCTTTTTATTTAGTGTGTTCATGGCCAAATTCAGTTCGTGAAGGTGGTATCAGTAAAGTTCTTTGCCTGACCACGGATGTGCGCAGTGTTGTGTGAAACATGAAAGCAAGCAGTTAAATTTAGTGTATACCAAGATGGTGGATGTCCCAGTACCGGGATTCTGGAAATACTGGACACAAATGCTAGCATCACTAAACTCTAAATGTCATGCAATCATGAATAAATATGCAGAAGCACCTTCTGTAGTACAAGTATACGGAGTACTTAGTGACATTGAGAACATTGCCAGATACACACCAGCTTAAGTGAACCTTTATTGTTAAGAGTGCTCTAGATGGGAAGCCGCTTTTTAGCGCTCTCTGTGGCATGTACACGGTAACACTGAATGAAGGCTGTTCTGAAAGTGAGTGAACAGGAAGCACATAATGGTGCAGTGAATAAAACCTAAGTGGAATCAGTGGTCCAGGGCGACTACTTCCATGAAGTAAATAGAGGCAAGAGGCTTATCTCTAATAACACCTCGCTGACAGGCAAGACTAAACCAGTTCCAACATCTGCTGTCAAGCTTCCTCCAAAATTAGTGTTAACTCGCAACTTCTTTGCACCTATAAGAACTACTGACATGGACATGGAGACTACTGAAGCAGAAAACTCACTAGTGGAGCAGGAGGCTCTGAGAAAACCAGGTAGGCCACCAAGAACAGTGGTGACTTCTACCACAAACCTCATTTGACTCCAAAGTGACTTAAAGGCCACAGTCATGAAATCGTACCTGGAGAAAAAATATTCTTCGCTACTTTAACTTATCCCCAAATTCTGGAAACATCAGAGCAGTAATCTGTCACCTTCCCCTAGACATATCAGCAAAAGATATTTCCAAGAGCCCTGAAAACTTCCAAAGGACAAACCCTTATGTAATACCTCCCCTGATTCCTTTACCTTAAGAAGAAACATAATTATCATCAAAGCAGAGTTATACAGAGTTCAGACTGGTCTACTGAAGAAACAAAAATTTATGTGCACTGTAGTTATAGTGATCTAGAGAATGTAAATTAGTGAGACTGTTATAGTTATTTGCAGTTACAAGTTATTAGCATTAAATATATCCAGTTATGAAATCAAACCCTGTGTCTTGTCACTGCTAACATGTGATGGTATCAAGTGGTCAGTTACTGCAACAGGAAGATTAAATACAATATTTTGGAGGAATTTATTGCCTCCATCAAAAAGCAAGTCATGCAAGAAACCAAAAGAATCCTTTAGCAAGTAGCTTGTTTCTTGCTTGGCATACTCTTTCGCCCTGAAGATGTAGGCAGTACATTCTTCCGATATACTGGTGGACTTATAATGGACTACATGGTGTTATATCCAAGTAGATATTAATTTTCATAGTCACAGCTGTGAGAAATTCATGTATGTGGTCATTACATGTATGCATATAGATGTACCTAAAGATTAAAATGCAGAGGACTACAAATTGTGTGTTTTGCATAGGTCTGAAACTTTCTCACCCTGAACAAAGAGCAAAAACTGGAGATTTCTGAAAATGAATATTAAGAGGAATGTTGGAAATTAAGACAGAGGACGTAACAAAACAACAAAGAAAACTGTATATTCCTTAGGTTGATCAAATCAAAGTGACTTGATGAGCCAAACATGTAGCATGCATACAAAGTTTTAGTTCAAAATCTGACAGGAAGAGTCACTTGAATAACATAGACATACATGAAAGGATAATATCAAAATGTATCTTTGAGAATATGGTGTGAAGCTGTAGATTGAAGTCACTTGGTTCCTGACATTGTACATTGGTGCTCATAAGATCCTGAGCTCCATAAGAGTTGCAAATGTTTTCAAAAGCTGAGAAGCTTTTAATTTCTCAAGATCTCTACTTCAGATAGGTAACTAATTTGAGGATCCACTAGAGCTCAGTCCTCATTGGCCAGGAATGGCTAATGACTACTTGGTGCTATTCACAGTCACAATCTGAGTAAGATACTTTGAGGTAAGTCTTCAGGCAGATGGTGACTTCTAAACTCTGCCCACTAGCTAACTCCTGGCCAGCCAATGAGAACATTGGTCTGTTAGGTTTCCACATGCACATGCAGACATACATACTCATGCATGTGCGTGCACACACACATTATCCAATTTGTACCAGATATTACAATAACTCATGATATCCACACAGACACTATCTGGAGTGTCAGCTTTTTATTCTGTATCAGCATGACTCACTGACCAATCAGATTTAATTGCATATATTATACTAAGAAGATATAATATTTGCATCAATTAATTCTGTCACAACGCCAACGACAAATATATAGGTAACTTACCTTGAAGTTGCCGGTTAATTAAAGCTGTTATCCCAGGGCCATCCCCCGTCTTTTTGACAATCAACATGGGCTTGTCCTCCCCATCATCGAAATTATTGGGCAGGTGACCATTGTTGCTTGCAGCCATTGTTTCACTCACCTGAACATAGGTAAATGATACAGATTCAACAAACTTGTTATGTATCATAACATCCCTAATATGAAAATCCAAGCATGTCAGTTAAAATTTGATTTACTTCACTCTTCAGAGTGAAGACCAGCAGGAAAAATCGATAGAATACAATTCATGAAACAATAAATTACAAATCTAACACACATCACTTCTAGATTAGTTCAACATATATTTATGTATACACAGGAGAGGGGTGAAAAACATGCATTCTACATGATGTGATCTAAATTAGGTTTGGATAGAATGAACATACACTTAGGCAAGCATTTTCAGTATGAGGATATCAATCACGGGATATTAATAATTCTTTCAAGTTTGTGAAAAACAACATTCACTACAGCACATTCATGTGAAATTGTCTCCTAAGGTATATTTAACACATGCTGTGTTTCAGAATTGAGTCAAGTCCCATCTTGAGGTGACTGGTTGTCATTATACTGATAGGTTTATTTTATTTTGTACCTTCAGTATTAAAGACAACCACAAGGACAAAAACCAAGAAACTTCTGAGAGATGTAAGAGGGCAAATACAAAACACCAAGACATACAAATCTAGCATTCAATGTATTGCAGGTTCAATACTAAATGCTGCCACTATTCTTGAATAATAAAACACCAAAACAAATCTGTCAGGAAAATGGCCATCATCACAAGACAGGAATTCATCCAACTTCCAAAATGGTGTATATTAAATGCGTCTCAAACAATGGACAATGTTGACTGCACTGATTAAAATTATAAAATATGAGAGAAAACTGGAAGATGAAAAGAAAAATTAAGATGTAGAGGATTAAACCAACTACACTAAGAGACAATTCACTCAATCATCATCACTCATGAAGTTGAGCCCTTCTTTAGAAGCTGCCAATTCTGCAGCCACTCAAGAACATCCCTGCATTTTATGGAACCTGAAGGTTCACTACCGTGTTCACAAGAACCTTCCACTGGTCCCTATCCTGAGCCAGATCAATCCAATCCATCCCATCCCATCCTATCTCTCTAAGATCCATTTTAATATTGTCCACCCACCTATATCTTCATGTTCCCCGTGTTTTCCTTCCTTCTGGCTTTCCCACCAATATATTGTGACATGGATGGCGCAACAGGAAGTAGGGATAACGTGAATTCTGCTGTCTCGCGAGTGACGTCACATACCCCCAGTCTTTTCATCATTACGAAACGCTTGGTAAACACCACCCAGCGGTGACATAACAGCAGAGCAACTGTGTCAGGCTACCATTGCAGCGGTGACATAACAGCATAGGAGTTGCTGCCGCTGCTACAGTAAGAGGCCAGTAAACACTCCGCCCCCCACAGTGACATAACAGCACTTTGCACTGTGACATAACAAGGGACACTGCTGTTAACACGAGGCAACAGGGAACGGTATAAAAAGCCGGCCAAGCAGTGTGTGAGCCAGAGAGAGTGATTAGGAGTGACAGCGTGGATCGTGAAGTTGCCGAGAGCAGTGGAATTCTAGCAGTCACCGAGCTCAGTTGTAGCAAGTGAATCGTGAAAGTGAAGAAGACGTCATAAGTCAGATGAAGTATAGCAGCCGTGAAAGAAAAACCGAACGCGTGAACAGAAGAGTTTACGTGTGATAATCTGTGATAACTGAGAAGATATTGGGAATGTGTAATTCAGTGACATTTCTATAGCTCCGGCGTTATAAATACGTGAAGCCTACTGAAGATAGAGAGAAGAGACTCTTTTCTTAAGACCATTAGGATAGGAAAATTATCAGACAAATACAGACTTTACCATAAATTTCGTTTGAACACATTTTAATCAGCCTGACTAGTTTAATGGGTATCCCAAACTATCAGAATATTGTACAATATTTCCCTCCTAACTGAACCACCAGTATCTAATGAATGCAAGAGATGTCATCAGTGGTTGATCTGTTACGTCGCAACCCACACTGATGATCCCCAATGATTTCATCTATGTATGGACTTGAGAGAAGAATACTGGATAAAATTTTGTATGAGGTCGATTGCAGTGATATCCCATGATAATTACTACAGTCAGTTTCACCACCCTTCTTGTGAACTGGTACAATAATATACTCCTACCACTGATCAGGCAATTCTTCCGTATTCTAAATAGTGTGACATGCTGAGCTATGGATGACGCCCCTCCCCCACCCCCGCCAGCCGTGATGCGCCGAGCAAAGCCGAAGCGAGCCGATGTTAGCCGAGTCCTAGCATCCTGGTCGCTAGGCAACGCGAGTCAACAGCGATGACGTCACCAAGGGTACCGCGGGTAAACAGGATTGCGAGAGACGACGGTAGTAACAGCGGTTACTACCGCTAGCGTTGCTAGCAACACAGCGCCAGGCAACAAGGGTGCTTATTACGTGGCCGTTTTCTGTATTGTCCGATCGAGGCTACATGAGGAGCAGCGAAGGTTATTCACAGTTAGTCCTGGAGCTACCGCCGAGCCAGTCCTCGAGCTACCTCCGAGTTAGTTCCGAGTTAGCCAGCAACCAGTCAGTTGTAACGTGGCATTTAAAGTGTACTATTTGTGATACTGCAGATAGCAGTAGTTCTAAAACTGTCAATTGGGTGATTGTAAGTGCGAATGTGGAATAAAATTCGCTACATCAAATACATCTTGAAGTTATTTTTGTGATACTGCAGATAGCAGTAGTTCTAAAACTGTCAATTGGGTGATTGTAAGTGCGAATGTGGAATAAAATTCGCTACATCAAATACATCGTGAAGTTATTTGTCGCGATATACGCCCGATATGCGACAATAGAATTAATTAGCTTATGGATCTTAGAACATAATATTTCACCTCCTGCTTGAATAAGTTGTCAGAATTTGATCAATATCAGGCGATTTAAAACTTTTAAATTTTTAAATAGCAATTTCAACCCCAAAAAGGCTAGGATCATGCACTAAGAGCAAAGATGTGTGTATTTCTATCTGCCTTTGTTCATTCAATAACTGGAAGAAGCAGTTCTTCCAACTATTCAAAATATTTTGGGAATCTGCAAGCAGATAACCATTCTCATCCTTCACTAAGTTACTTCTACGTTGGTAACCCCTCCTGAAGTCATTTATTCCTCTATACAGGTCTCTAATGTTCTTGGTCTTACTGTTCATTGAAAGCTCATCAATTTTGTCCTTCAGATATTTCCCCTTTTTATCCCTGAAATGTCTGCTGGTTTCACATCTTAATTGTTAAGATTATCTCCATTTTTTTTTCAGTTGGATCCTGTAACCACTGCAGTTTGGTTTGTTTCCCTTGGTCTAATAATTTTGAGCAGCCTTCATCAAACCAAGACTTATGTTTTTTCAGTCATAATAATGTAGACTCTCTTTGGCAAACATTTTTATATTTAATTATTATACCATGGCACATCCCATTAGTCGATGTGTCTGTATGTGTATCCATCTCATCGTCAATAGGCAAAGGCTCGGTAAATTGTGGTCTACTTTCATTGCTAAGCAAGAGCTGGGTAAACATATTCCCATGGCAAGAAATACATTTAACAACAGATGAATTGCTTGACACATGTGTCTTAGTACCCCCATCCCTCCTAGGTAACAACTCAGTAAAGATTTTATTGTAACAACAGTTCTTCGTTTTCTATGCGGTGCATGTCATATCAAAAGGAAGTAGGCAACTACTTCTTCCCAGAACTTCTTCCTTAATATGTACTAATCCCTCAAAGTGCACAAAATGTAAGCATAAACAATGAACGGATTAATTATGCCTCTGCTATGAATGGGGCATCTTGCCCACAAATGGTGGTTACTTCTGATTTAAACTTTTGTTTTCTTTGATAAAATCACCATTATCTGTGATCACTAAACAGATGAAACTCACTTTTTACGTATTTTAATTTTCATAATTAGAAATAAAAAAATTTGGTGGCTAAAATATTTTGGGTTTTGATTAATTTCCTACTTCACATTTGAGAGATGGCTTTTAGAGTTCTGACAATATCACTCGGTTATTTGTGGCAGAGAGTAAATATCCATATCCATGACATTGATACCAACATAATTAGTCGTCTAAGTCATAATAATTAATTTATCTGTTAATTTCAAATTTCTTTGTCAATACCTGATTCCTGGCTTGTGGGTGTCTAGGACAAAGAGTGCCATAGGAAGAAATTAATATTTCCTTGCTGCTGAGGGGTGAGAGCCACAGCAAAGCACCATAATACACCGATCTACTATTTTCTGGTGACCAAAACATTTGCCTGCCCTAATCAGAGAGAGTTGATGGCAGGAAGATGTATGCATTTCATGCAAAACTACAGTGTGATTGGGTACAACAACTAGGAAGCTACAAGCACAAAAAAATACATGAAATAAATTAGGACTAAGACCAGACCAAAGCTGCAAAATCCTCATCACTAGAAGAATGAACTAGTGGCATCTGAAAATAAAGAACATATAATGATAAGACCCACAGCCTTGTATAACGTGTGCATTTTGTGCCACCAAATAAAGCAGCTAACTAGGACACTAAAGCAAGTGTTATGCCATGGCATTAGCATGAAGCGTGAAGAGATGAAAATAAGTATAAGAAAAAATAGACAGCACAAAGTGGACTTCTGAGTGCTGTCGCATCTTTTATGGTTCCGAATGACTAGGCTCTGCCACTTCTATTTAGGTCAAGGAGAGAGGTCCCACATGTGGTGGGGATGATGCGACTCAAGGCTTCCTATACTCTGCTCCCTGCTGTATTCCCCTGGCTAAGCCAACCAGCCCAAATTGCTTGTCACTAATGAAGGTCACCAGTACCAACATTTGTGTCGAAAGAATGGCCAGATGACTTTAAGGAGAATATAGCGAAGTATGCTGAAGGGAGGAAGTGTTACTATTCAAGGGAGATGTGGAGGTGGATGATTCATGGGACTTTTCTATGGCTGTAGCATAGTGTGTTTGTAATCTGTGATGTCACATGTAAAATTACAATAATTCATCAGTCATCATCATCACACA